CACGGCAATGGAGAGATGAACTGCTAAATACATGGGGTTTGGAGAGAAGTCTGGAAAAGAACATCTGGGGGACAGGGGTGGATGGTGAGGGTGCGTCTGTGCTGGCGTACCTATCCAAGGGGAAATTCATGATGTCATCACTTCTTTCCACTTTGGGCCACTGGTCACATACGTCTTCCATGTCTAAACCACCAACTCTCAGCTTCGATACGTATTGTTACGCGATGACAAAGTCCTGCACTCTCTGTTCCAAAGCCCGCGACGTCCTCGTGCGCTGCCAGATCGACGAATCGCAAAAATGGCATTTTGTCTGCCCTGGTGCATGCTGGAAATCGGTCTCTGGTGGAGTTGAAGACGCAAAAGGGATGCAAGAGGAATACCCATATTACCGTTATGGGGGCATGGTGAGTTGCTGAAAGATTTCAGGGGAAAGAGAGGCGGCTGATGTGAGGTCGCGTATAGTGGAAGGATAGAAGTGCCGATGGGCCGGTCAGCGCGAAGAAACCAAAGAAAGTCAAGGAGAGGCAAAAAGAAGAGATGAAAGCTAGGGAAAGAGGCGCAGAGGCTCAGGGTGGAACATGAATAATACTATCGGTAGGCAAATATGCTCGTTTCTTGATCGGATGTGGTAACACGCTAACCATGACAGCCCTATGACAGGGTGTCCGATACCGACACCAAATTTATACACTATACCGAAACTTCCTGTTGTGGAAGTCGGTAGTATCCTCAATGGAATTCACATCGCTCGAATTGATGCCTTGAGCGTGTGAGCTCTCCGCTTCTTCGCGATCGCGTTGGGTGTTCCGCCGTAAGAGCAGGGCTCGCAGGCAAAGCGCTAGCACAACTTGAGAGACCGCGCATCCCAAGATCATCTTCACACCGGTCTCGTATTTTGGGGCTTCCTTCGCCAAGAAGGCTTGTGGACCTGAAGTAGGTGATGTTAGTAACCGCGGTTCTGAGATGGGGTTTGATGGTGTAGTGAGGCTTACCGATGATGTTACCAACACAATAACCCAGAAAGACAAAAGCTGTGCTAGTAGTACGCTTGGTGTAGCCGCCTACGTTGGATGCCGGAAATTGAAGCGCAATTACCAAAGAGCCAACGAAGGCACCAATCTGCCTTTGTTAGAAACGTCTCCGCAGAGCGACAAATGGTGAAGACGAACCATGTAATAACCCGCCAAACATCCAGCCAGATTAGTGCGTGGAAGTTGCCAGATCAGACATGCGCCGACGATCGTTGGACAGAGGTAAAGAGCCATAATGTATGTGCGCGCGTTCGGCAGTCGAGAGGCGAGAAAAGGGCCTGTGAAAACCCAGAACACTTGAGCGAAGCCCTGCGGGATGCCATACAGTGTTGTCTTGAGTGGATCACCTCCGGCTGCATCCTTGACAATTAGCTTGCCGAAGTTCGCAGTGCCACCGTTGATCATTTCGTTGAGCGTGACAAACAGAAAGAGGATCCAGATTTGCGGGTCCATCAAGGCCTCCCAGACCTGAGGCAGCTTGATCTTGCGATTGTACACTCCGGTGCGATTGCTGGCGGCGCGCGCGATCAGGAGAGCCTTCTCTTCGACAGAAAAGCTCTTGGCTGTCATGATGTTGTTCGGCAACCTGAAGAAGAGGACTACAGACCATAAGACGGTCATACCTCCACAGATGATGTATATGATCTTCCAGACGACGAAGCTCTTCGCATATCCGGCGCCGTAGAAGAGGATGCCCCCGACGGCACTACCGAGGCCGTTGAAGCAGTAGAACGTACCCGCCCTTGCGGGTTGTTGTTTTCCTACGTACCACATTCCGACGATCTGCAACAGTAAAGAAAAAACGTCAGTGTGTGTACGGCATGTCACCTGAAGAGCAAGACTCACCATCATAAACGCGGGCGTCACAACACTCTCGAAGACACCCAAGAGGAAGCGCATGACAGCGAAGCCCGCAAAGTTGTGCGTAGCAGCTGTAAGTAGCATAATGGAGCCCCAACAGAAGCAGAAGAGCGACACCACTCGGCCGGTTGGAAAGTGCTGCGCAAGGTATGCTGATGGCCATTCAGCGAGCAAGTAGGCAAAGTAGAAGATCGACGCCAGCCAGGAGTACTGATCACCGGTGATGCCAGTAGTTTCGAAAAGGTCGAAGACGGCGGAGTAGCCCATTGCTTGCTTGTCGATGTACTGGAGGAAGTAGGTCCCACATAGTAGTGGTAACAGCAACAGGTCGACCTTTCTGGAAACGCGCTTGTTGGCTATGTCGTCTTCAAGGAGCTCAGCCATGTACTCCGGTGTGATATTATGTTGCCTCAGGAACAGGTTTGCTTCATCGAGGTCTTCAACTTCACCCACGATAGCGCTTTCTTGCTTGTGAAGAGAGTTCGCGTCCATGCTGCTGAGCTGAACCTCCATGTCTTTTGATATGGTCGGTGTTTTGTCGTCGCATCTCGTGGTATTCGGCTCCGTCGACATGGCTGAAAACGAGGGTCGACAATCAACAAAGTGAGTGATCTATGCGTCGGGGACCAGAGCAGCCATACGAGGATGCTTGCAGTAGAGCTTTAACATAACTTCGGATGAGATACCCGCGTCGAACTACCCCGCGACATCAACCATTCAATGCAAATGAACGGAACCCATGTAGGATTCGATAAGAACGCGTGATAGCGGAAGACAGGCGGCCGATCGCATTGCCCAGAGGACATATCCGGGACTCGTTGCTACCTTGTTATCAGAGTGGGCCTGTATTCGCCTGCAAGCTGGCGTCAAACCTGGATAAGGATTGAAGAAGTGGATCATCGCCCTGGTAAGTGACCTGGAAAGGATGCAGCAGATTTGTGAACATGCCATCGCCCGACGGCAATACTTCGGCAGTGATAAGGGAGTCGCATGGCAGATGTCAGATACCGGTAGCGCCCCGCGGCATTCGTAAAGTGGTGGTCGCAAGCTGGGGTCGCATCCTAGTGACCACCAGTACCCGTTAGCGGCTCCGCCATACCTGCATCGATTGTGCGAGAGCTCCGAAGACGGCATCGATAATGCTGATACCGAGCACAACATTGAACGATATGTCGCTGCGACTAGGTAGCTATGTGCTTCAATTGTTCGAATGTAATTGGTACAGGTTGTAGGAAGCCTTCGTTAAAATCGAGTGACGAGACTTCGATTTCCGGTTTCGAGCCTGAGAGGGGGCATGCCAAGTCTTTCTGCAGACTGCACGAAAGCCACGTCTAGTCATTCATCGCGGCCTGGACGAACTTCCCCTAGGATATTGATATATTTCGGGTGCAGATACGCTTCCCCCAACTTTCGTTGTTTGATGTCCGTGAGGTTCGTGAAGATGGCGCGATGGCAGTGAGGACAGGAGGATTCGGTGGACGGTGCAGCTGCAGCCGAGGTCTTCGCCCAATCGAGCGGCACTATCTTATCGATAACGACACCGCGAACCTCGCAGAAATCACAATCTCGCTCCATTCAATGCGATCACCAGAATGGCGAACACGCTCAAGCCTTCCAGCCAACAATTGTCGGTAGCGTTGAGTTCCCCGGCGGAGAACTCGCGGCTCGGGCTTGGCATCGATGCTGCATATCCGACCCGACTACTTAAGCCAGACGAGCCTAGTGAATGCTTGTGCGCCTCAAGAAAGCGTCCTATTCCTTCTAAAACCTGAGAACAGAGACTTGCCTTCGAAAGGTTCACGGGAAGCTGGAAATATTGAAACTGGAAAATGCCTAACATCATCGTAATCGGGTACGCTTCGTTCCGTTTCTCGATAGCTGTCAGCTCGGTCATACTAACGCTTCTTGGTGTAAAGAGCAGGTGTCTCCGGACTGACCTCAGCGTATCTTCTCTCCAAAGATCCAAGTAACAGAATTGCGGTCGTAGCCAAGCATATGCCCGGCGACTCCGATATCGAGTATGCATCACCATGGGCCGGCGCAAACTTCATGCCGTAAGTATACGCGAACAGCTGGGTACACAATCAGCTGACATATGTTGTGCAGAATGTCTTCAGAACCACAAAATCGCTATGAACGTAGAACATGGCCGCAACTCAAAAGATTAGCAACAGAAGTACCAGAAGCTGGTATTCACCTACAGAGTGAGCATACCCTCTCACGGCCAGACCACAATAGCATACTCAAACAAAAGCAGAATGCCGCATTTACCGCCGAAAGCAAGACATGAAGAAGCTGCAAAGCGGCGGCGCCACATCCTTCAACAACGTCTTTACTGAAAACCCCTGGTGGCGCGAACTAGTCGACGACTATCGCAACCTCCCCTCCTCCGAGTTGCCATCAGGAATGGCATCAGGCAGCGAATTCGGCTCCGTGTGCATCAACCCCGCTCTCTATCTCCCCTGGCTCGTAGGCCAATGCCGCGCAAACGGAGTGGAATTCTATCGGAAAACTGTATCGCATATATCTGACCTGCGGTCTCCTTGGATCGAAAACTTCAAGCCAGACATCATCGTCAACGCGACTGGGCTATCAGCTGGGAAACTAGGGGGCGTTGAAGACAAGACCTGCTACCCGATCCGCGGCCAGGTCGTGGTAGTAAGAAACGTAGCACCAGCCATGGTGTTCGTATCCGGCACGGACGACAGCGAAGACGAGGCTTGCTACATGATGACGCGAGCAGTTGGCGGCGGAACAGTACTGGGAGGCACCATGCAAAGCGGAAACTGGGAGAGTCAACCCGATCCCAATATCGCTAGTCGCATCATGAAGAGGGCGGTTAGTTTGTTGCCTGAGCTGACGGATGGGAAAGGGCCAGAGCATCTTGATGTTATCCGGTATGGTGTGGGGTTGAGACCGGGAAGGGAGGCTGGGGTGAGGCTTGAGAAGGAGAGGATTGATGGAATTTGGGTTGTGCATAACTATGGGCATGCGGGGTGGGGATACCAGGGCTCGTTTGGGTGTGCGGAGGAGGTTGTAGGGCTTGTTGGTGAGATTGGGATGCAGGCTAAACTGTGATGTTGACTGCTAGTAGCGGAAAGATCAAAATTACTGCTGAGACAGTTCAACCTTGGACCACCAAAAGTCACTCTCCTCCTTCGCATACGTGTCGTCAACTATGATAGCCGGCTCACCAATGGTCTCTCCACCAATCAACTCCTCATTATCTCTCCCAAAGATCATCACCTTCGGATCCGCTCTATCATAGCTCTTCCATTCCGTTCTGTTCGCATATGTGCCCTCGAGTCCGTTCGGAGTGCCCGTACAGATAAAACTAGTGATATATGCGTGAAGGATACCCGACAATTCGTCCTGGCTCTTAGACTTCGCAATAAACTTCGGGTCTCTCATTTCGTAGAACATGTTGTCCGCGTGACGAGCACCATCGACGATGTCGCGTCTCATTGCCCAGTGATACAGGTATACAGGTGCATCTTGGCTGGCGAAGAAAGCCGTTTGACGTACCGGGGCCACATATGCGTAGTGCGCGTAAGCCGCCTCGATGCGTTTGTACATGGGACCGACACCGTGTTCCAGCCGCGTTTCTTTGTAGGTCGACTCAGGTACTTCAGTCGGGTCAGGGTACAACTTGTGTATCGTTTGGATATCTTCATCGCTCATCTGCGGCAGCAAAGTCTTCCAGAAATCCAGGAACTCGGAGGAAGTCGACATCTTCTTATTGACGTATAGTGAGCCTTCGTTTCCTTGAAATCCGGTCATGATGGGCATCTTGTACCATTTGCCCGTCCGCCATGCATCGATTGGACGGCGACGGATGATTTCGTTGTCGATTACCGGTTGGAATGCCCAGCGTAGACTGGGATTGTACTTTTGGAATACCTTGGTTTGGGCCTTGGCAATTGTGGAAGTGGGAAGGTTGCGTAGGAAACTGAAGACTTCCGACTCTGGTATAGTTGAAGGACATTCAACTTCTTCCAAAAAGTCTTTGAACTGCATCTCGTGGATCTCTGCGTCGGGGTTGCGGACAGCGCGGGATGTCGGAGCGCCTGACTCAATGATGACACGGTGAAACTTGGGCTTTACACCCTCCTCATAGTTTAAAAGATGATGCCCTATCTAAGCGAGCGTCAGTAAATTTGATCAGGGTATCGAGCGGCTCAAACATACCGAATGCGCGCCGGCCGAGAGCCCTATTAGCGTTACATTGTTCTTGTCGCCACCAAAATGCTCGATGTTCTCTTCGACCCAGTCAAGCAAGCAAATCTGATCCTTCAAGCCCAGGTTGAGTGCGCCTTCTGCAGCGCTCAGCTTTGATGGTAGGAATCCCAACGCTCCTATGCGGTAACCAAACGATACTGCGATGAAGGGCGACTCGGACCATCCAACCATAGAAGCTGTATCGTGCATCGCAGCATTTCCTCGATTGAAGGCTCCCCCATGAAGGTAGACTGCAACTGGCAGAGCGGACGCTTTGTCGGGTTGAGCTTGCCGGAAGACGTTCACTGTGAGGCAGTCTTCACTTTCCTCTAATTTCGGTCCAACTATCATGAGCTGCTGTGCTGGAGCTCTTGGGCCGAAGTTTGAAGCATCTATAGTGTCTTGACTAGGTGCTACCTTTTGTGGTGGTCGGAATCGGCGTTCACCTGTTGGCGGTAAAGCATAGGGGACTCCTCTGAAGGCTTCGACGGCCCGTGGATAGTCGCCCTGCAAGGTCGTACCTAAGAGAGTACCCTGTGTAATTTTTACTTCCGGTCTCGTCATTGCGAAAGATGCTGTGTGAATTGCTAGCAAGTTGTCAGTATGCGACGAGGCCAAGCCAAGTCTTTCGACATACCTATGAACTGTAAATCGTATGCTCAGTAATTCAAGTGATACCGGTGCTCTGAACTGTTTGGATATGTTAGTCTAAAGCTGACGTGGTACTCAAATGCCGATGTCAATAGGCAGCCGTTGGAGTATGAGCACCGGCATCGGCTAATGCCCCACCCTGCTATCTAAGGCCCAGCTCGCTGCGGGTACTGCGGGCAGCGACCTTCCGAACGTGCATACCTATCGCAGGGACCACACGTCGGATCTATTCGGTCAGTTTGATGTTACACTAGGAGCGGCTCGGCGTTGATAAGGTTACTAGGCATCTTCCCATCAATACTGTTTAATCGCATTGATGGCACCCGACCTATCCCTACCACCTCAGGCCCCGGAGCTCGGTCAATGCGACGACTTCAACTGGAATCGCGCCGCGTTTGCTGTCTACACCTTTGTCGACGGGGTATTACTTCAAGATGTCGCCTCGACTCTTGAGAAGCAGTGGTTAGAGCAGGGCAACGAGGATCATCTCGTTCGACCTGCGCCTTCCACATCAGAGCTTAAGACACTCCAAGAAGTCTTACAGGCTCACATAGCCTTGGAAAAAGGGGCAGACAGCGAAACGGATGAATTAGAGTGGTGGCCGACTGCGTTCATCGTCGTGGTTCGAAAGGACTGGAAAGAACCTGGAGGGTTGCTGTTCGTGTTCGCAGACGACGAGAACGATTACAAACTGGACAAGTTCTTTTTCAAGGTCGATGATGCGTACATGATGCTTTCGAGTCTGAGCTTCCAGGATGAGACTGAGGCTGGGAGTAAGGAGGCATACGCCCAAGGGTACTACGATGACGCAGAGTGGAGGAGCTACCCGACACTCCCGCAACCTGAACGACGATGAGACACTCACAGATGAGAGGCATCGCAAGTATTGTGTACCAAGGAGGCGTACGGCCATAAGCCCCAGAGTGAATAGAAGGCTAAGCTGATTACTGTTATGTATCGTATTTGGTCCACTGTGATGTTACTATTGCCACGAGAGTTTGCGCATGCTCGGTATAGATGTACAAAGCCTATAGGCGGTTTCGGTAGTAGAAGCATTGCCGCGGCGGGCGCCAGGACGTGCCACGAACTGGGCTCGCCTGAGAATGTACTTTTCCTGCGTCGATAACGCTGACGGAATTGTCGGGCTCTTTGTAGGGTACCACCCAGTCACACCATCGCTGTTCGGTCTCCGTCGACAGTGGGTGGAGATGATGATGCGTTTGTTTCCAAGGTCGCGCTTGGGTGGACGGCACCTGCCCAAAGCTGGCGCGTTGCCGAGGCCCGGCCAATCCATCCAGGCACCTCTATGAACGAGCACTATTCTAACATTTCTAACAATCAACGACACTAAGTGTTTCGTAAACGTACTTCACACAGAGACCGCCGGATATTCTTGCTGCTGTGCTAATACAGTTTGCGTGTTACCACCTTGAGGAAAGACTGCGTAACGGAAGGTATGCCGACAGCTCGTGAACTCGACGAGCTGCAGCTGATATGCAATAGCTTTATCGAAAAACCTATTCTTACCTTCTGCACAGCCTACTGACTCAAGACGAGTAGTTTGGTGAAGTTTTGACGAACTTACAACTTATGTTTAGTCGGAATGGTGATGTTGCTATACATAGGTCTTCATGCAGCGGCCCCGGGGGGCTCTGCTGGTCGCTCCTCTTGTGGGACCCACTAGAGCTTCATGCAGTTGCGGATAGCTCCATTGGCGTCGATAGCCAACACAAGCGCCGGCACCCGTGTTGAGATGGCACTGTTCCGAAGATGGAGTGATGCGGCGGTTCTTGAAACAGATGAAGGTGATGGTGTTAAGGTGAGCAGAATTTGAGGTATCAACAGCATGTTTGCTGCATGCGCAGGATGGGTGCTGGGTTGCGTGGACGGCATCTTCGGTACAGACCACGATGCACCAGGCACGAAGATGTTGGTGGCGATTGTATGAATCTCTAGCTCCGATCGCAAGTTGCTTGTAGTTCTTGAGCCAGTGGTAGAGTCTAACGTCAGCCAAGCTGCACCACCAAACGCCGTTGACATGTTCAATTGGGTGGAGGGGTAGACCCTTAGGGCTTTCTCTCGCGTGCGCACAAGGATGGCAAGTCGAAGGATGTATTCGAGCCTGCATACTATCCCCGTCATCAGAATAAGCCCTAGGAGAGTTGTTGTTACCTCGCGAAACTATCGATTCCAAGGGATCCCGCTGCGGTTGGAGCTGTACTCGCATGTGAGCCAACGTCAGTCGAGCAGTCACCGGCGGCAATGTAGACGCAGACACCAACCAGCGCATAGACTAGGCCGCCCAAATAGGGACCCTTCACATCGGGAGTAGGAGATGAAACATAGCTTGGAGCCAGTGATAAAAAGAGCAACCTCAGCGCTTGCGGAAGCACTCAACAACCCGCCTCGCATCCTGTCTCGTGGCATCCTCCCAACCTCAAGGTACGGGCATGGGATCATCGTCCACGCCGCAACACTCTGGCCGCACTCCTTGCACACACGCTGTTGCCGACCTTTGATCGAATTTGCTCCACGTCATTGGCTACACCTCGGTAATTCCTTATTATTAGTCCACGCGTCAAATGAAGGTTGGAGGTGTCGAGGCTGTTTGGAACCGCTGGATAGCGGCCTAGTCCCCTTGTCGGCAAGCCTTGCGCGCACGCGCCTAGCCGCTCTCCACCACCGTCCTGAGCCCCTCCAGCACGCTGAGGTCTTGAAACCTAAAGACCCGCTGCCTTTGTCACTCTGGCCGCCCGTCGTCCGCCTGATCTTGGAAGAGCTATCTCTTAGCCCCCCGAAACCCGCCCCCTAACGGAGCCCTCCCCACTCCACCGAGTCGCGCCTGCCGCCTGTCAAGCCGCACCTGCCTGTGACTCGTGGCCCAACGTCACTCGTGCCTAAACCCGAGCGGCCTCACACTCCACCGCACCTCACCTCCTCGTATTCCTCCCCCTGAGACGTCGACCGCGCGAAAGACCGCCTCTTTGATCCGGCTTACGGCAGCGACCCACTCTGTTGGGACCGAAGACGATTGACGTGCCACCTCAACACCACTCACTTCCCTCGTTATCTCCGGGGCCAGCATCGGTTCAGACTCTGCGGGAGCCAACGTAGATGCAGTCATTCAACAACGGGCCTTCGCCTCACCCACAGCCCAACATGTCGTCCCCCGCGCCTCTGCTGCGACCACCCATCCCCGGCGCGCGCCCAGGGAGGAGGGGACCGCCCCAGCTTGGTCTATCCATACCACCATCGCCGAACGCACGACCTGTTACCAACGGTGCAGGTAACGGCATACCGACCCTGAACGCGCCTCAGCCCCGTCATGGCCCGAAGCTAAGCGTCGTTACTCCCATGGGTTCCAGCAATGCACCACAGGAAGGACGAAACGCACGAGCTCCCCCGCCGCTTATAATGCCACACCAAGGACTGTCAGCATCAGGCTCGAGCGACACGAGCGCACACTCAAGATCGGGTAGCTTTGGCGAGGTGCAAGCAAATGGTTCTGCTTCATCATACCATGCGGCACTGGGATTCATGGGGGTTCAAAAGGCCACAGATCCCATTTCGGCAATATCCCAAGGAGGAAGCGAGGGCGCGCCTTCCATGGAGCGTGCAAACAGCAGTCAGCCTCTACCAGATCTAGATACTATGGCTCTAGAAAAGGGTCGGCCATTGGAGGTGGATGATCTAGATGACGCAGCCTGGAGAGCGGCGAGCGCACGAGGAATGATTGAGGAGAAAGGAAGTCTAGGAGAGGGCGCTGGTGGTGCTGTCACAAAATGCATACTCAAGGGCGGAAAAACTACGTTTGCATTGAAGGTATGCATGGTCTCAAACGATGCTTGGGACTCAACTAATTGTATTCCAGATCATCACAACGAACCCCGATCCCGATGTCAAGAAGCAAATCGTACGAGAATTGTCTTTCAACAAGAACTGCGCCAGTGACCACATCTGCCGTTACTACGGTGCTTTCATGGACGACAGCACAGGGACCATCAGCATCGCCATGGAGTTCTGCGAAGGAGGATCGCTCGATGCAGTATACCGCGAGGTCAAGAAGCTTGGAGGCCGCACAGGCGAGAAGGTCCTTGGCAAGGTCGCCGAGGGCGTGCTGAATGGACTGACATACCTCCACTCTCATCGCATCATACACCGGGACATCAAGCCGAGCAACATCCTATTATGCCGGAATGGTCAGGTCAAGCTCTGCGATTTTGGTGTATCCGGAGAATTCGGAACCAAGGGAGACGCCAACACTTTCATTGGAACCTCATACTACATGGCACCAGAGCGCATCACCGGGCAAAGCTATACAATCACTAGTGATGTGTGGAGTCTAGGTGTTACTCTACTCGAAGTCGCGCAGCATCGCTTCCCGTTCCCTGCCGATGGAACCGAGATGAACCCCCGCGCTGGTCTTATTGATTTACTCACCTACATCGTTCGACAACCCATTCCCAAGCTCAAGGATGAGCCCGAAAATGGTATCAAGTGGTCAGAGAACTTCAAGTACTTTATCGAGTGCTGGTATGTAACCCTCTTACCTAGAAATGAACCCCTGCTAATTTCTACAGTCTTGAGAAGGACTGTCCTCGCAGAGCCACCCCCTGGCGAATGCTTGAACACCCGTGGATGGTCGAAATGAAATCGAAAAAGGTCAACATGGCACACTTCCTCAAAAAAGTGTGGGACTGGCAGGATTGAATGCGCTACGATCCGATTGCCAACTTCGACGCGACTCGCTGCGAACTTGCCTTTGAACATGACTTGGCACGGTGTTGTGGAACCTACACTTTCTCACTAGCCTCGAGCGGCTCAGATTGTACCTTCTATTCATACACTTGGTCACATGCTGGCCATCGGACCAAGATTACCTTTATCGAGAACAGCTGTACGCGGAAACAAAACTTTGGACTTGGAGCAGGGACTGCAACTTTGTCGATAGCCTTGAGAGTTGCTTGATTGAACGAGGATTACGCCTAGTTAGGTAAAGGCGCCTGATGGACATCAGGGGCATTGATGGCGTTTGAAGGGCTCATGTCGTATACAGCGGCCTTTGCAGAAACAAGATTTAGGTACGACTGAATGTCAAGAATTGCATATATGAAGACTCTATGCACGATGTCAAGCACTCTGTGATCGTGAAGATAGGATGGGGGACTAGGTAGTTCGTTAGCCACTACTAGGCTGGAAAGCAAATTGTTCTTCCAGCTACAAAAGAGCGATGCTTCATCTTGCGTGAGCTGTTTCTAAACTTCTACCCATCTGCAGGGCGACGCGCATCCAAAACGGCCTAGCGCCAAGGTCCGGTCCGACGCAGCGCCCGGCGCCGATTGCTGCGCTCGAGGCTTGGAGTCATACCAAATTATTTACGCAGCCGCACCTCTCACTCAGCCGGTCCATTGAGCGACTAAAAGACGACAACAGCTTCCTGTATTACGGCTACCTTCGTATACGAGTACTGTGACATTCTCCACACCCTGCCAGTCGCTCCTTCCTCCCAACTTACCCCTCCAAAGACCCCACCATCGCACACGAGAACCACGCGAAACCCCCCAGAAGAGCAGACAACGCGCCAAAATGCCTACCATCGGTGTGGATAAGGCGGCCCTCTTCAAGGAGCTGGGTCGGGAATATACCTACCAGGAGTTCGACGACCTATGCTTCGAATTCGGTATCGAGTTGGACGAGGACACAAGCCTGAGCACCAAGCCAGAAGATCAGGCGCAACCACCACAACTCAAGATTGAGATTCCCGCAAATCGCTATGACATGCTATGTTTCGAGGGTATCGCTATGAACCTCAAGGTCTTCCTTGAGAAACAGAAGCTGCCCAAGTGGACTGTTACCGCGCCCAAGGGAGGAGAGCTGCAGGTGCTCGACATCAAGCCTGAGGTATGCCGAATGTCTGGAAAGCGGTAGCGAAGTTGTACTGACTAGTCGCTCTATAGACCAAGCAAATACGAGAGCTCTGCTCGGGTGTCATACTACGAGGTATCAAATTCACGCAAGAACGATACGACTCCTTCATCGCGTTACAAGATAAATTACACTCCAATCTGGCGCGTCAACGGACACTTGTATCTATCGGAACACACGACTTGGATACAATTCAGGGCCCCTTCTCATACGAAGCACTGCCGCCAGAGCAGATCAAGTTCGTGCCCCTGAAGCAGGACAAGGAAATGAACGCGAAGGAGCTCATGGAGTTCTACGAAGTCAGTAAACATGAGATGCCAATGTGCAGCACCACTCTGACCCTGAACAGAAAGACAAGCATCTCGGACGCTTCCTACACATCATTCGCGACTCACCCGTTTACCCCGTAATCTACGACGCAAACCGTACCGTCCTCTCCCTTCCGCCCATCATCAACAGCAATCACAGCAAGGTCACACTGGACACAAAGAACGTCTTCATCGAGATCACTGCGACCGACAAGACAAAGGTCGAAATCGTCAACCACATGATGGTCACTATGTTCGCTGGGTACGCAGAGTCGATCGAGCCTATCAAGATCAACTCGCCCCACAATGGAGAGTCAAGAGAGTCGCCAGATCTGTCACCGCGACAAATGCAGGTTGAGGTGGACTACCTGAACCAGGTCACTGGCCTCACCTTGTCACCCGAGGAGATCTCGAAACTCTTGTCGCGTATGGGCCATGACGTCTCACCGTCTCAATCCGACAAGAACATCCTCGACGTTTCGGTGCCTGTCACAAGAGCGGACATCCTGCACCAAGCGGATATTATGGAAGATTACGCCATCGCATACGGCTTCAACAAGCTGCCGCGAGTATACCCGAACAAGACTGCTGCTGTCTCTGCGCCATTACCCATCAACAAGCTCGGTGATATCGTCCGGATAGAGTCTGCGTCATCGGGATGGACCGAAGTCATGCCTCTCATCCTCTGCTCGCATGAGGAGAACTTCGAGTGGCTGAACCGGAAAGACGACGGAAAGACAGCGGTGAAGCTTGCGAACCCCAAGACAGCGGAATACCAACTCGTCCGAACATCGCTACTACCGGGTCTGCTCAAGACTATCAACTCCAATAAGCACCATTCAGTACCGATGAAGATCTTCGAGGTCAGCGACATTGGTCTCGTCGATTTGGAGCAGGAGAGGAAGAGCAGAAACGAGCGCCACTTCGCAGCCGCATTCATGGGCAAGACAAGTGGCTTCGAGCAAGTACATGGTCTGCTGGACAGGCTGATGCTTATGCTTCGGTCGGCATTCCTTACGCGCGAAGACGGACTAAAGAACGAGCAATTGCAGGGCTACTGGATAGAAGAGGTTGATGGTAAGTGGATAGGTTGCGCATCAGAAATGGCGCAAACATACTGACTGGTCACAGACCCGACCTTCCTTCCTGGGCACTCAGCGGCTATCAAGCTCAACCTCGGCGGCAAGAACCACACCATCGGTGTCTTCGGTATTCTGCACCCGAGTGTGCTGCAAAAGTTCGAGTTGCCGTAAGTCGCTTTCAGCTTATCTCGCGATGTAACCTAGATGCTAATTATCGTACAGATACCCCGTGAGTACGCTAGAGTTCAACCTGGAGATCTTCTTGTGAGATGCCACGCCAAGGTCGCCTTGCCACATAGTCGTCGCCAAAACTGCTTTGGCGCAATAGATACCTACAGCGCATCCACAAATTAAGATGTCATGACCGAATTTCGTCCAGATCACAGCATTACCATCTTTTGATCCCCAGCCCTGACCTTCAGCGACATGTAAACGTCTCCCCATACTTTCTAGCAGCACTGATAACGGGGTTGCTCCGCGTTAACCAACAAGTCAAGCTGGCGCTTCCAAACGAATGTCTAACCCTTGATAGTAACAGTACGCTTGTGAGTGACTGTGGTTTCTTGGGGGCCAAAACCAGCTGATTTGAGATTATCAGGACTAGCTTCTAAGAAAGGCTCGAGGCTTGTCTGGAAGCGCATCCTCCAGCAGCTTGTTCTCAGCGCGTTTGGTCCATTCAAAATACTCGGCGCATATCGTTACCCGTAATGTCTCGGGTTTGCATGTACGTGCGACGCGAGAAGGTACCGTGCCACACGCGTGCAGCGGCCAATACCGTACTGGTTCACCCCCACCATCGAACGCGAGCAATCTCATGACTTCTCTCCACTTTCGCTATAATCGCACATATCACTACTGTTTGACCCAGGAGGTAAACATCCATGTTTGACTCGTTTAACTATATTCACACGACACCAAATTCGCCATTCCTGTTTGACCTCTCAGCATGATCAGTGGCAGGTACCACGAAGTGCTTGAACGGCTCGGAAAGGCGGAACCATCAACAGTGGACGAGTGCAAAGCTGTATTGGAGCGCATTCGTGTCAACAAAGGCCACATCGACGAGGATTACCGACTGGATTTAGAGAAGCTTTCCCACGGACATCGCGACCGGACATTGTATGTTTTTGCAAAACAGCGCAAGCTTGAGGCAGCTTTCACCAAAAGGTTCGTGTTGCAGGTCAAATCATACTCATATTTTATTAACTGATGCAGCATCTCCCAGCAGCTTTACTCGTCCAAGTATCGTTTCTTGCACGAACTTGTTCAGAATGCTGACGATTCGCTGTACAACGAGGCGCACAGCGCATCGGTACTACCCTTTCTCCGATTCAAGATCGCGCCAGATGCTTTCATTGTGGAAACAAATGAAGATGGCTTCAGACTAGCCAACGTTGAGGCAGTGTGTGCGACTGGGGAAAGCTCGAAGAAATCGTCAGCTACCGACGATCACATCGGAGAGAAAGGCTTCGGATTCAAGTCTGTATTCTCCATTGCAGAGGACGTGCACGTTCAATCTGGACTCTGGTCATTTCGGTTTCAACATCGGCGCGGAGACGACGGTCTTGGTATGGTGACGCCTCTGGACGCCGAGCCAGTCCCTCTCCCTGAGGATGTGACTACAAGAATAACTTTGCGCCTCGCGAGGGATGCAACTGCAGAGTACCAGGGTCTACTCAATGCTGTCGCAAGCATGCCTGATACAACACTCTTTTTCTTGCAGAGACTACGCAGGTTCCGTATTCATGTCACAGACCCAGACCTGGATGACAAAGAAGTAACAACTACTTTCGAGAGAATCGCACTTGAATCTCCCCCAGGTCGCGTCCTTATTAGGCGCCAGGAAGAGTTCAACGATGAAATCACGGTCGACGAAAGCTTGTATCGTTGTTTCACTCACGTCGTCGAGAACATGCCAGCACACGAATACCGGGAGGGTCGCGGATCAGCGCGCGTCGAGTTGGCCTTTCCAGTCGACTCCACAACACAGCAGCCAAAGCTTAGCGAATCTGGACATCATGTTTTCGCTTATTTACCATTGCAACGTTTGCAACAGATTCAGGTAAGATCATGTCATGTGAAGAAGAAGTATACTAATCCATTCCGTAAGTTCCTCATCCAATCAGACTTTGTCACCTCTGCAAGCCGAGAAAGTGTCGTTGATTGTACGTGGAATGAATTTATATTCCATGGTGTGGCGAAGACGTTCGCAATGGCTGTTGAAGAGTTCACGAACGACGGTGATCCCCTGGAGTATTCTTGGCTCGATTACCTACCTACCGGACTAAGCGACGATCGATGGAAATTAATGCGTCAACTAATTACAAAAGAGCTCGCAGAGAAAACTATCCTGCAGACTTGGCGACAGCGACGTCTTAGAAGACCAGGAGAACTACGTTTACTACAGGACAACATGCTGCATGGCGGCAAACCGATCTTGGAGGCCATATCGGGTGATGTCGACCTTGCCCCTGATTACATTCCTGAATACGTCTCTGAAGTTTTTTCCCTTGGGGTACGTTGGGCAGGTCTACCTCGCATGATGAAGCGGCTAGAGACTGATGTCCTGACCGTCACTTCGAGATTGAAAGCCACGGAACCGCACGATGCATGGCACGTTGCATTTGCATCCTTGTTTCTACAGGCATGGTCGATCAAAGCCCCCGACGTTGGTGTCCAAAACAGACTGAGGAAACTGGCTATAATACCTCTGCAGAATCGTCGGCAGTGGACAGGTGCACCAGGGCAAAGCAGCGGTGGGAGTTTGGATCATATCTACTTCTCTGATGTCGACGGCATCAATATTCCCAGCTCTATAGGATTGAATCTCCTCGATACACACGCGTCTTCGAATCCGACGCGCAAGGCCTTTTACACAGCACTCGGTGTCGAGGAGTGTTCGCATGAGTTTGTCGTGGATAGGATCAAGCAGATACATGGCCGCGCCAACAAAGCTCCTGCTGATATACCGTCCCATCTTCGATACCTTTTCTGCGCGAACGAGGAAGCTTCGCTGCTCAAACAATGGATCTGGGTGCCGACAACAAGCGGGCATGTGAGAGACTCTGCAACGTTATACTTCCCGTCAGAAGAAGCCCATCATCTCTATCAAGCTCTTGATGAACTTCATCCATCGAGATATCAGGGAATCTTGGAATTTGTTGACAAGTCTCTAGTCGACTGGGAAGAAAACTCTGCGAGGGACCAGCGTGATGCGTGGAAAAAGTGGTTGGAGCAGGCGACAGGTGCCCGATACTATCCGCCTCTCGTACACGAAAATGCAAAGACGTCTTTGCCAGAGCTTTCCCCAGCTTTGATGTTAGTCCACCTGTGGTCAGGTCACGAATTTTTGGACATGCTCAGAGAGCATTGGCGCGATTACCAAAAGGACATTTCACGGATCGAAGACCAGCTCAGGCACCTGGAAGTACCATGCGCCGCCCAGGTTGATGAGCCTGACCAATTCGAACCTCTTCAAGATACATACCTACCTACGGTAGACGTCATTGATGAAATGCTGAACCTTGATCTAACCTTGGGCAAGTTTCGTATACTCGATATACCTGGTTTTTGCCAACTGTCGGACAATCTTGACAAAGAAGGCCGTGTAAAGTGGCGATTTTTGGAAGAATTTGGCGTACGTAGCGAGGTAGATCTCGAGTTCTACGAGTGCGCTCTTCAGGGTATCAGGTCAGTGGCTCAAGATCCTGATTTGGGAATTCTGGAGAAGATATATGCGGGCCTAGCGAAGTTCGCTACGGCAGACGATCACGACGATCTTTGGTACGTTCTATTCATCCCACGCTCTTCAACTCAGTCACAAGGCTCATCAAAATAGCGAACTCTTCTCCCAGGAGCTGCTCTGGATACCCAGTAGTAGAAGCTGGGTAGACAAATCTTCATGCGTCTGGCAGGGCCCAGCCTTTTTGCGATACAAGAGCGTGTTGCACTCGCACTATGGGCATATTCCTGCACTGTCTAGATTTTTTCAAGGAACTCTAGATGTACCAGATGCTGTCCCCGAGGATATCTTGGAAGAGCTGATCAAACGACGGCAAGCTACCGATCTCACAACCACCCTTTCCGTTGCAGGAGACATCTATTCATACATCCGTGATAATACAGTCCGTGACGAGGAGTGGCAGATACTGAGGTGAGTTATCCTTGTTTAATCCCCCCGCGTGATTTTCAATTCTGTGCAGCTTTGGATCGAACATACGATGTCTACATCGTTATCCGAGACTGAGCTCAGTATTGGAAAGCTTCAATACATGTTAGCAGCACCACCGAAAACACTTCTTAGCCGCGTTATTTGGTTCATCCTTGTATGTGCTAACAACCCTTAGGACGCAGTTCCAGCAAAACGATTTGATTTTGGGCACGAATAACACCTGGCACACCCTGGAGACGTGTGTGTGGCACAGCCGTTTCTTGCTTTCCGGATACGAAGACCTTAGCTCCATCTACCCACAATTGGAAACCTTCTTCGTGAAGCATCTCAAAGTCAAGAAAGTCACACCGACTATGGTTATCAAGGAGATATCGAAAATGGTCAGGAACAAATCGCCCGACTACGATAGTATCCGAAAGCGGCTCGTCGACGTCAGCAGGATGCTGACTACTACCAAGCTGGATAAGGCAACTAAAGATGCGCTATCCGATCTTGCGGCAAGCAAGTTCCTGCCCAAAAGACTTGCCAATGGCGGTACAGTCCTCCTTAGCCGTCACGATGCCTACGCTATCCGGGACCATACTCGATATGGCAGCGCCTTTGAGGAGCATGACATCTTACTCGACTTCTCCGTTGAGGAGGTTCAAATTATGAACGTCATGTTCACGCATACCGGTATCAAGAGGTATTATCTCTCGTCTTTAGTGGTCGAGAAGTCCACGGTCGAGGAAGATAGTGAGGAAGACGATGCCCTTACGCAACAACTGCAAGTGAAAGCGTACGCTCTATATTGGTGAGTCTTTCCTCATATGAAAGCCACTCTGTGCGATCAGTCAAGTTGACTCTACACAGCTGTGCTGCGAAGTACAAGAGTGTGAAAGCTCTCCATGGAGATCACTCACTTTTCGAGACTTTGTCAGCTGTTCGGATCTCCAGAGGCGATCTCGCGACCCACCTGGTCATCGACAACAAAGACCCAGACCTTCATCTTAGTGTTCGAAGCGAGCGATCATTCATACACCATGAGAGAACGGCAGACGGTCTAAAAATCTACGTACCCAAAGGCCCGAAGCAACGTCAATCTTCCTATCGATCACAGCTTCCGAAACTGCTTGCAGACATCATGGAAGTCGACGACAGCGCACGTCATGACATCTCTGTCATCATTGGTAGCGACCTCCGAGCTTTAGACGACATCCTGATCGAGCTCGATATATCGTGCGTGTCGTGGATCACAAAGCCAGTCTTGGATCTACCGGACGATGAAGATGAGGATGGGGATGAGGATGAAGATGATTCATCGTCGCCGTTTGAGCCGCGACACGTGCACAATGCTGAAAATACAAGCACGCGAAGACGCTCTTCTCTAGTCTCAGCAAATGGGTCTGTGAACTCATCCGAGTCAACCTTCGTCGAAGATGTGACAGCTAGCTCCAGACATGCGGCCTACAGTCCCAAAGCAAGTCGCAGCTTAGATCAGGAGCGTATTAACCGCCTTCATGGGGCTCTTGGTGAAGCATTTGTAAGTCGTCGCTTCGAGTGACTCCGTATCCGCTTACTGACAGTTGCAGGTTTTTGAAACGCTCGCCGCTCTCAATTTGACCGATTTCACGCTCGACAATTGGCGCAGTACGATTCGCGGAGAGCTCTCACGCCATCCGAGATACGCCGGCATTGCCAACTGGCAAGGTCGTGAAACAGCGGATATCGTCTACACAGATCGCGATGGTACGCTGACGCAATGGTTGAAGGGGAGATGCACAGGTGGCTATCCTGCTAGTAGTACTGAGCGTGACTTCGCGAAGCACCCGATCGAATACTACCTCGAAGTCAAGAGCACAACAAGTGCTTGTGAGACGAGGTTCTTCCTGAGTGCGGGACAGTACAAACTCGTAAGTTGTCTAGACTGCCTTGAAAGATATGTGGGATGAGTTTCGTGGGCGCATGACTGACACAACAAGCAGATGCATGAAATGGCTGTTCAAAGAGACCAGGAGGCAACCAGAATGTATGTCATTATGCGAGTGTCTTATCTTTCGTCGGACGACAAAGGATTGAAGATCTACGTTGATCCTGTGCGACTGAAAGGCACATATGTTGATTTCGAAGCGGAAGGTTGGGTTGGACAGACTTTATGATGTGCTGTATGCTAGCAGAGACACTCGCTCGGTATGACAGATGGGTTCTCGCATGCGATGCCGTTACAGCCGTGTAGCAAGATCTCAAGCACCGTAGCTCTGGAAAACCATGCGTAGCGCATCTCTCTTCCCAAGCGCAATTTCTACGGCGAAGCTTTAGTTTGTGGGAAGCCCGTAGATCATTAGTTCACGCGTGCTGACGTCACCCACTTGGCGTGTAAATCTCGACCAGAGCGGATGTGACGGAGGCCTCACCTCCACTAATTCTGGACCACAGCGCGAGAACATTTGAAAAGGGCCGTAATATCTGCGCGACTCCTACCATTCTGTGTGCATCTCGGCATCAAGCTTTACATCGCCTTCTTGACGTGCCGATTACCCGCAACTGCTCATACCGTTCCTGACGCGGCCTCAAGCCTGGATGTCATTGTGCATGCGGCGAACCAAGTTTTCAACAAATATACATCCGTCTATGCGGTAGTCAGGGTCTTTACACTGGCTCAGTAAGTGCTTTCGCGCCGTTCATAGCCCAAGAATCCAAGCAAGCGCCTCCGACCCGGGACTTACCAGACGCTAAGAGCCCCAGACTCCGATGGCTGGGCATGTAGACCTTCCAGAAGGCTGCTAAACTTACGAGGAGCTTATTTGTACGCCAGCACGCAGCCAGCCATAGCCTCAGGAGCACTTCCGACGTGTCTTTGGTATTGACACGGCTGACCTTCCATGCTACTCACAGCTGTGCCGACATAGCCTTCTCGTCATCCACCAGCATCTATCGTTTCGTGGACGTTGTTGGTGAAGATGCATCTCGCCACGAGATCTTGGTCCGATGAATATGCTAGCATATGACGACCGAAATCGAAGATGGCATGTGCATGTTCGGTATACCAGTAGTGACGCTACTCTAGATGCATCTCTCGCAGTATATATATCGAGTTCTTCTCCCTGTACTTATACTGTCATCTCAAAGCCATTCAAGACATTAAATCTTCTACGATTGACACGAAACAACACTTCAATAGCTTCCCGACACCTATACTTCCTAATCCAAAATGGCTCCCCGTGCTGTGCACTTCATCCGCCATGCCGAAGGCTACCACAATGCAGAACACAATGAGAAGATCCCCGACCCCGACCTCACACCGAAAGGCAAACAACAATGCAAGAACCTATCAGAAACTTTCCCATTCTTTGATCGCATCGACCTAGTTTGCGCAAGCCCCATCCGCCGTACCATCCAAACGGCACTCATCAGCATGGAGCCGTGGTTACAATCCGGAAAGCGCAACATCCTCGCTCTTCCTCTAGCCCAAGAAGCCACATCTGAGCCCGCCAACACACCAAGTGACGTAAAGCGGCTTCAAAAGGAATTTGGCGACGTCTGCGACTTCCACAGGTGCCTGGACACCTACACAGACTTCAATACCAAGGAGGGCATGTGGGCACCAGACGGCGGTTCACTAAAGGCGCGCGCCTTGGAACTCCGCCGCTTCTTGCGTGACCGTGACGAGGAGGAGATTGTAGTGGTGTCGCACGGCGACTTCCTGCACTACGTATCTGGGGATCTAGATGAAAACGATTGTCAGGCACATGGAGATTGGCAGAACACGGAAATGAGAAGCTATCGCTTCTTTCCGGTTGATCATGAAGATGCGCTATTGCAGGAGACAGATGAGAGTGTCAAGTTGAGGGATGCGAGTGCGCCTGGGCAGGCGATGGGATCGGCTAAGGAGGGCACGCCGTGAGATGCGATTTGGTGAGCGGCAGTGATGCGATCGTGCAGTTTAGCGAGCTTTATCTGGAATGAAATCCATTTTGAAAAGATGCGTCTCATTAACAAAATCACGTTGAGATGGCATGAGTGAATGATGGTTGTCGAAGTGCTGGTGCTGAGAAGGACGCATGTTTGTTCCATGCGCAGCTGCCCCACAGCGCGGAGACGGCGAAACTTGCTACTTCCAGCGGCGCTAGCCCCGGGGGCGCTTTCCACGAACGCGTGCCATCGCGGTCTTGCAACATCACCTTTCGACTGCTCCTGGCGGCCTGATAGTATAAGATGAAGTGCCTCGCTATGAAGACCATGCTGTGTCTTCCACATGTTCCCCAACATAGCCGACATCCTCGACTCCGCACCTATTACGCCCCGCACCTCCGCACCAGGGACTCCTGCATCGGAGACAATGGCTAGCGACACGATCACACACATCGTGCTCTTCAAGTACCGCGAAGATATATCATGGATGGACCTAGAAAGCCACTTCAAGTCGTTTATGGCCCTACAACACAAGTCGCTGAATTCTGATACCGGCAAGCCGCTCATACAGTCGCTCAAAGCCGGCAAAAACAGATCGTGGGAACCGTTTTCTAAAGGCATGACACATGGTTTCGTGCTAGAGTTTGCGAACCAGGAGGATTTGGACTATTATCTTACCACTGAGCCGGTTCACAAGGCCTTCTCCAAAGCCGCAAAGCCGCTGATCGAGGATAGCTTAGTCGTCGATATCAAAGACGGTGTGCTTTTTGGTTCTGCAGCCGAACATCCGTCGGCGAAAGGAGATGGGGTCAGAAAAGGCACATGCCATTGCGAGAGTGTAAAATGGACCGCGAAGCTCGAAAATGCTGAGCACGTGCTCTGTCATTGCTCAACATGCCAGAAGCTCGGTGGTGGACCGTACTCGTGCAATCAGATCATACCGAAAGAGGAACTGCAGATCGTCTCCGGCGAGGAAAACATCAGGCAGTATCGGTACAAAGGTGCTAGTGGTATGTTCGCTTTGTGTTGGTGAAGGAGGAAAGGCTGACTGGGTGCAGGCAAGTTCGTGCGATGCTACTTTTGCAAAGTTTGCACGAGCCATATTTATCATCATCAAGATGTTATGCCGGACAAGATCATCGTGCGCACTTTGTTACTGGAAGGCGGTGAAGACATGCCAGCCACAGCCGAGATCTTTGGCGAGGGTAGGTTAGCTTGGGTGCAAGAGCTCTCGAAACAAATTTAAGCGCGTGTTCTGGAGATGCAAGGAATGTGATGATTCAGAAAGGGATATAAGCGTGAGAGCCAAGGATGCTGCCTAATGTGGCACAGCTACTTCATCATTCAAAACGAACAACACCTCACTACTCGATATCTAATTGGAATCCCGAGTGCGAAACGCATCTTTTGCGGTGTATCGTTGATCTCGCCAGTGGATGGAGTCGCAGCGACATGTCTCATCTACTCGATCTACCAACAGAGCTCCTCATCGAAATCTTATCTTCTTGCTCTTGCGCCGACATAAAGAGACTATGCGAGACACGCCGCTCGCTATATGACGTTGGTGTATGTGAGCACCCCAACTTTCGCACAGCGACTGACGACGAGTAGATGCCAGAGTTGTACCGCAAGATTGACTTGAGCTCACATAATGCTCCCATCGACTGCACGCCTGTTTACGACGGGCTTCATCGGGTGCCACCCGATTTTACCCACAGAAGATGGGGACGCCTTGACTTGGACGTATTCGAGAAGCAGCTGCAATTTACCCGAACTTTGCAGCACGATCCGGGGCTCGGTAAGCACGCGCATGTGCTATGCTGGACAGTCTTCAATCTATTTGAATGCGATGAGGGGGCTTGGGAAGACGGAGAAGAAGAAAGTTTGGAGCACGAAATCAAGCGCTTGACGGATGAATACCCAGGGTCGGAAGATCTGCATATTGACGGACATGGAAGCTACGGTACGCCGACGCGTTATTTGAGGTGTTGATGCTGACTATGTTAGGCTCTCTTTGGCGCACGTTCCGTGGTCTTGATAACGTCTCCGAGATTGACCTTTGCTTCACGCAGTAAGTGTTTGGCTGTTTAGCGATGATTGTTTACTGACTTCTAAAGGTCATGCGATCCTCTACTACTTCCTTTGATATGCTTTCCTAAAGCTACTTCGGTGCGCTTGAGTGGCTGGGTGCGACGCGACGTTGTCAATTGCTTCTTCCAGGAGTATGCCCACCAACTCAAAGCACTTGAGTTACACAACCTGTTCCAGTCTGACGAGTTTGATCCGCCTTATCCAATGTTTATTGCCGTCCAAGACATGGTAGACTATTTGCAGGAACACGAGGAAGATGAACGCAGCGCCCTAGACGACCGGTACATGGTGGGATTGCTAGATTCTTACGTTGGGAATTTTACTGCTCTCACTTCTTTGTGTATTGCTACCGTCGGCAATTCCTTTACGAATGTTTGGTACGATACAGAAGAGGGCAACCAACGATACTCTGAATGGGCGCGCTTCATGCAATCCGTTCGGCATACCCTACGTTCTCTCTCCTTCAAGCAGGGTTACAATCGAAATGAATACGACTCTCCAAGAGGCATTCGGCCACCGTGCCCGCATTATTCGTATCGGCCAATGGATCTCATGTTCCGACAATGGATCTTGCCCGTTCTATTGGAAGCTCCATGGCCTCATGTGAAGCAGATAGAGATCAGAGGCGTTGGAAGGCATGTGGAAAGTTGGGTTTCGGATCATACACCGACAGAGCAGGAGTTAGCCGAACCAGATCTTCAGCTTGATTTGACATCGCAACAGTCATGGGATGGTCGTACGGAGATCAGGGAAAAACTAGCTTTTCCGCATGAGAAGAGAGAAGAGCTATTAAGGCTACTGCCTGAAGGTGCCAAACTCATCGTCGAAGAAGAGCAGGAAAGAGATTACGAAGAGCTGCACTGAAACATCGAGAGCATCAAGTACACTCTTGTAGTGGGGTGGTCGGACACAGTTTCTAGAATATAGATCACTTACAAGTTCAATACCAAAAAAATGATGAGCCGTAAGTCAAACAGTCATATCGCCAATGGTGTCACGAAAGACCACGTGCTCGACAATATCCTCACCTACAGCGCGCGGCTAAACTCCCACCTAATGTGGGGCCTCAACCTCATCGAACCATCCCGAACCAAATCCTTCCTCGGTCTTCTCAGCCAGAGACCGCAAGGATGCGCAAATACGTTGAATACCCGCG